TAACAAAAAGATAAGTAGCTTTTGTTAAGCGTGACAATGTCTGATTGTTTAAATTTTTATTATAATAATAATGAAGCCATATTCTCAATGATAGGTATGCATTGATTCCTGACTATAATTCTTTCATAGTATTTAACGATTCGCTGATGATGGTTTGAGGAAAACCGAAACATAAGCAAATAATACAGATAATTATTACACATTTATATTCTATATAGACATTTATTGTTACTTATATAGAATTTTGCGCACCAATATCCGCGCTGTGTATATGCTCTTATTGTCCATGTATTTTATTGTATTTTTTAATTTTGAGAGCTTAATTAATATTTATAATTTTATTTAGTAAAAAAATTTCGCTAAAATTATTCTACGTTTTAGAACATTTGAAATTGCTGAAAATGTGCTAAAATTTCACTGAAATATGCTGAAAGTGAATTTTTCAACTAACATATTGAATAATCGTTGAATTTGAATAAAAATTTTTCTGAAATTTTGTTGAAATTTCTCTGAAATATTCATTGAAATCTCTCTGAAATTTTGGTGAAAATAAAATTTTCAGCTAAAAATCACTGAAAAATTAAACTAAAAAATTTTCTAAAATACTGAAATTTTACTGAAAAGTGTTCCAAAACGAGAAATAATTTTTTGCTAAATTTTTTTGCCAGAGAAGGTTAAGTAATGATATTTTAGAAGTACAAAGAAGCTACTCAGTTATAATTCTCTTTGTAAAAAAATCCTAGCTTACAATAGACCATTGCAAGACATCTTCATCAAGCAAATCAGGTCGTTTTCAATACATTCAGAATACTAATATAAGGATGGTTGATCACTGTGGATAATGTAAATTTTCGACATTTTCTCAGGCAAAGAAAGAGAGATGAGAGAGAGAGAGAGAGAGAGAGAGAGAGAGAGAGAGAAAGTAAAAATATTCAAAAATAAATCAGTTTTCAGCACTACTTTTTCTTCACGAGTTTAAAAAATTTCTGATAACCAACTTACTTTTATCCAGTTTATGTCATCCAGATAAAAGTGCCAATATAATTCTTTTTTTTCGTCAACGAGAATTAGAACAGTAATCTTTTCTAAGATTTTCTTAAAAAGCTTATGTAAATCTAACCTTATTTCTTATTCTAATTTTGCGACAAAATATGCTAAATGCATAAGCTGCGTGAACCACCTCAGCTCGTAAGATAAAAGCGGGAAGCACAGATTCTTGCATAATGCATAATACATAAAGAATAAGAAACCAATCAGAGTTCTTTATTTCATGAAAAAAAAGAAAACGAAGGACTTTAATTAGTTTATTTTCTTATGCATTATGTGTTATGCATTATGCAAGAGTGCTCCCCACTTAAGGTACTTTATGCGGTTTCATGCATCGGAAGAGACGGAACCGTGCAGTTGATCGTAGGTTGAATCATGCATACAGCGAGTGCATATGAAAAAAAATGGAACGGACTTCTATGCTTTTATGTGCATCATGCACGAAACGGATCACACCCTAGGTAACATGTAATCCGCTAAATATAATCATAATCATATGATCATAAATTACAAACTGCACAACTGTGCTCATGTAAAAGTGTCAGAGCCAGCAATCCGTATCTCAAAATATAATATAATATTTACAAAACTGACTCTCGATGAAACTAAGGAGATATTATGGCTCTTGCACATAGAACAAAGCTTGCCGCGCGGCAGAAATTGTCCGCACTAACCAATAATTCTGTTTTTAAGTCGGCCTCACCTTGCAAAACTTCTATAATAGAAATGATATAATATTAGGTTAAGTAAAAAGTCATCGCGTTTTTTTAAAAGACATTATCAGTAAAAACCGCAATTACTTTCTTACCAACAATATAAACATATCTTGATAGAGTAAAGTTTCAGCTTTAAAAATCTCTTTTTTAAATTATACGATACGACAATTTTTAATGGAGTTATGAGCAATTAAAGTCAAAATAATTCTTTTATTTAATCCGCGATAACTCAGTAATCAAAAGTCGTAGGAATATAAAAAAAAAACGATTTTGTAGGGAAAGTATCAAGCTTTCACGATAGGTAATCGAAAATTTTCTCAAATTCGTTTTGGACACGTTACAAATCCACAAAGTGAGAAGAAAATTTTTCGTCTTTTTCAGCTCGTAGTTTTTGGTATGTAAAAATTATCAAACTCATATAAACTTAAGAAATGTGATGAGCTTTTAAAAGTAGAGATTTCAAGCTTTAAAACCCTTTTTTTAAATTTGAATTTCATTCATTATTGACGAAGATATTGTATATACAACTTTGAGCTAAAAAATACGCGATGACTTTTTACTGAACCTAATACTAATTCTGCCGCGCGGCAAAAGTTGGATTGAGATCAATTTTTATCGTCCGCGGTGGAAATTAAATATATAGCTATTACTTACGAACGAGATGTTAATTAGCTATCATGTCAACTTCCACCACGCAACAAGCATTGCCGCGTTCTTTATGTAGGAGCCAATAGTATTTGTTCGCGTTGTATGCTCTAGCATGCTCCAGTATGTGCTCCTGCTATAGCTCCTGCTCACTTCAACGAGCGCGTGAGAGTGAGTAAATGCTATGTTAGGAGCATTTTAGAGTATGTTAAAGTACGCGAACAAACCTATATATATTATATTATAATTATTTTTGTTCAAGCAGGTGCTACTTTCCTCAAAAAGCATCTCTATCAAACGCTCAGGGTGCGTTTACATGAAGTGCGGTACGTGGTACGTGATACAGTAACTAACAGTAACTAACTAGGCAACTAGTGAACCGCGTACCACGTACCGCCTATTTCTTTTCTGATATTACATGGAGCGCGATTTGCGGCACGGGCTAGTAACAAACTCACATTACTACACATTGCTATGCACTTTTTAATGGAATTAATTAATTTAAACGCAATTATTAAGTAAATCTGTTAAAAAAATAAGAGTATCAATAAAGTATGCATAAAAATAAGTTATAACATATTTTTTTAAAATTCATACTAATGTGAGTTTGTCATTAGCCCGTGTCGCAAACCGTGCGCAAACCGCGCTCCATGTAATATCAGCGAAAGAAAAGGATGCTATTTCATTTATACGTTTTTGTCGTACGACAAACATGTGCAGAACAAAGAGATCTTCGGATCTCTCTATCCCATAGCCAATCAACAGGCTTGAAAAATTTGTCGTGTGACAAAAACGCACAAATGAAATATCACTCATTTCTGCCGCGGCACATGAATTTAAAGGTTTGTTCGCGTCGCACGCTCCAACATGCCCAACATACTTCAATACGTTTGCGTCACCAGAACCAATATGGCGACTAGATGTTCGCGTCGCATTAGAGCATGCTCCATTTGCCTCACTTCAGAAGATGGTACGATTGGGCATGTTACGCATGCATGCGAAATGGTTGAAAACGTACTGTATCGAAAAAAGATTTATTTTGTATAAAAACGCATTTAATAAATGCGTTTTTGATATAAATATAAAAATATAATATAATAATATACTCGTATAATATAATATTAATAAAATAAAATAATGTAAGGCAGCAACACAATCCCGTGTATAACTTTCGAAATCGTAACGTTGCAAAAAGGTAGGGAATGTAGTCAGGATCAATCCGAAGGAGGAATAATCTAAGAAAATTCTTAGAAGGAAAGGGCGTATAACTCTAACGTAATGTATATACGATATTAACTGTTGAGATCTTCTTTATTCAAAGTCTGGTAACGGCCTATATTCTTTATAAAGGCGTCGCTAAGGATCTCTCCCTTCTGCCCCACTATCACAATTCAACCAATCCCAAGAGGGAATTGTCGACGGGCCAATCGCAAGGCACGGCCAATCGTGTACAGCAATGGCGGGTTGATCGGAACGCCGCCAGTTGTGAGGCGCGAAAACTAAACTTATATTCTATGATTGAAGGAGCTATCTTACAATAAAATAAAATAAAAAATAAAATAAAAAGAATAAATAAATAAAATAAAATTTAAAAAATTTTTTTAAATAAAATAATATTTGTGTGCGAATGCACCGCGAGAAAGAAAAAAGCGAGAGGACGGCACACGGCTGGTTCAACGCACAATGGTTTGAAAAGCAACATTTCCTTTTCTTTGACAAAAAATCAATTTATTCTTTACAAAAATAAACTTTGTACAAATTGAAGAAATTACAGCAAATTTTCACACTTATTTTTGTTCGAATTAGTTCACTCGATTGCGATGAAAGATCGCGGCGATTTCTCGGCGGTTCTCGAAGGAATTTTCCTCACAGCGGTTCTACGTGGCGGTTTTTGATACGATACAACAGCGAGACTCTGAGCATTAAAAGAGGGAAAGGCGACGATCGGCGCATATATTGCCTTCGTGATACGGGATCTCCTTTTGATAGTGCCCAATAATGATTTGCTAACAATTATAATTTTTAACGTGGCATTCGAGATTGATTGGCGCCTCGAATTTCTCTCGACTTTCGACTAATAGTCATGCGCGATTGAAAATCCGTGCGTGGGATTGGTGGTCGCGCGTGACGTATTCGTCTGAGCGCTGCGCTCGCGCGCGCGATCGAATTGTTCTCGACCTTCGGTGGTCCGTTGTTGTTGTCATTGTGTGTGTATATAAATGATTTTATTTATTTAAAAAAATGACAAACTGATAGCCCTTGTGAAAATTGAGGTCGTGCTAGAAAAGACTTCAACAACTCATTTTATACACACGTTCAACGACAATTTATGTTAATTAAAAGAACAGAATTTTTCCTTTTTATGACTTTATGATCTCAAACAATATTAATACAATAAAATATAATATAATGTAATATAAAAATCTAAGCTTTATATTGATTAAAAACGCATTTATTTTGTATAAAAACGCTTTTTAAATAATCGAAGTAACAAAATACCCGACACGAGGTACATGTCCGACCTATTCGAGTGATCTCACGGATTAGGTTAGGTGACATGCTCACTTGTTCTAAATTCGTTCGTGTCACTGAACATTGAAGCACATGAATGTAACTGCTCCAATCGTCACCTTACCTGTGATTCAAGTACTTTCTGGGTGAAAGCGTGCGATGCGGACAAACCTCAAATTACAACTGCTCCAACCACCATCTTATCTGTGATCCAAGTGTTCTCTCTAGATTTATTTGCAGCATGCGACGCGAACAAATCTCTAGTTATTATGCCGATTGTATGTGAGGTTAGATGCAGTTAGGTGGGTTTGGTTAAACGAACCATGTGTCATTCTATGTGAATGAGTTTAATGTTTGCTTGATACCGGCGTTTTCGCAAAATGACACAAGTTGCGCAGGAGGATAACGAATTAAAGAGGTTGCTCAATAATCCAGCCAAGAACGCTAGCGAAGATGGATCTATGGCACCACCGTTATCGGTAGGTTATTAAATGTTAGATTTTACATGCGTTTTCTAAAATAATGTAAACTTAATTTGTAGACTAACGTGCCGAGACCAAGCACGTCGCAAAGTGCCAACCCGCAATCGATGATGATTCCGATAACGCCAGTTAATAGCACGAAAGAAGTTCCAGAGCCTTGTTTACAGTAGGTCTCAAGTCACGTAATTATTTGCGTTGTGTATAAATATCTACTTACTGTTGTATTATTATACTGATTCTACACTAAGTTGGTAGTTGATAATCCTAAGTCTTATCGGTGAAGTTTACCAATAGCCAACTTGTATGACTAACGCTGATTGGTTAACTTTACTGATTAAGGGCCTCAACTTTTGATTAAATTAATTTACGATTAACTCGTAAAAGTACTAACAGCAGTTTAATGTATCAGAATGTGTCTCTCTTTCTCTTCTGTGTTTAATTCTCACATTTGAAATCATGGTGATTGAATTAACCATTGATTAGCATTAATCAGGATTGATAAAAGAGGCTGTAAGACGAAAACCTGGTTGTACCAATGTTACTTTGACTTTAAGCAAAACTTAAAACTCTCTCTGTCTTGTTTAAAGTGAAAGAGAGACAGAAACAGAAAATATTTTAAGCTTTGCTCAAAGTCAAAGTAATATTGGTGCAAGCAGACCTAAGACTTTTAACTACCAACTCATTGTAGAATCAGCATTAGATGTGTGTAGGATATAGTTTCTTTTATTAGTGTCTGCATTATTTTTACAGAAATGTAGTTTCTACAATTAATTTGCAAACAGAACTGAAACTTATGTACATTAATGTAAGAACTAGAAATTCTGAATACAACCCAGCTAGGTTTACCGGATTAATAATGAGGATACAGAATCCTAGAGCGACAGCGCTGATTTTCCGCTCTGGTAAATTAGTATGTACTGGCGCGAGAAGCGAACAAGATTCATTTTTGGCGGCAAAGAAATTTGCCAGAATAATTCAGAAACTTGGATTCCCTGTAAGCAATGTCACACGCCTAGAGATCTCGAAAGAGTTTTTACGTAATGTACAGTGCTTTTATATTTTTTTCTAGGTTAAGTTTTCCAGTTTTAAAATACAGAATATAGTTGCGACATGTGATTTGAAATTCCCAATTAAGTTGGAGCTTCTATATCAATTTCACGGTCAATTTTCTAGTTATGAGCCAGAGTTATATCCTGGGCTGACATACAGAATGTATTCACCTAGAGTTGTATTATTAATATTTGTAAATGGTAAAGTTGTGTTAACAGGTATGTTTTATATATATAATATTATAAAACATAAGATTTTTGCAGATATTACAGCAAGCAGATGGCTAAATAATTATTGAATGTATTTATTTGATTTTTAGGAGCAAAAAATAGGACTGAATTACAAGATGCATTAAATATTATATATCCGACATTAAAGATGTATAGAAAGCAATAATATTACTTATTTACAAAATAAATATCAAATAAAATAACAACAGATATGTAAATATAAAAATTAATTATATAATAGTAAATTGTTTCTCTAGCTATAATATATAACTGATTGTAAAATTCTATAAAATGAGAAAAGCTTTACCTTATATTTTTATATACATAATTGCAGTATTAATATTTTATGTGTTAATTTTATTATTTTATATTGATGTATACTATGTATGTATGTATTTTATTAATGCATCCACATTAAGTGCTTACATGACTTCCATTACAATTCCACTACATCTTACTCTGTACACATAGACATTACATTTATACAATATAAAAACTTATACAATATCTATCCGATAGACATCCATCTACACTCACTCACTCACTCACTCTTTCTCTCTCTCTCTTTCTCTTTCTTTTCTCAACCTCTCTATCATCTTCATCCATCCGATTCCTCTCCCATCCTCATTTAATACATCCACACCTCTTTCTCCCTTTTCCCTCACATAGTCACACTCACTCCTCAGATGCTCAACTGTTTCTCTTTCTCGTCCACACAACCTACACTTTCTCTCCTCCTCACTCATCCAGTACCTATTCCCTCTTTCCTCATTCCCACATCTCCATCTAGCTATCCTTACCAACCTCTTCCCCTCATTTCTCTTACACCCCCATATATACCTTGGTAATCCATTCACCCTTTCATACCCCTTACACGACCTTGACCTCCTCGCTTCCTCCCCTCTCTCTTGTTCATCTACTTCTATGTCTCTTTCCCTCAAGCGTTCCCATTTATTCTCTCCCCATTCTCTCATCGCAAGCTCGCTCATACCACCCCTCCATAGATATTTTCCCCTTTCTAAACTCTCCCTTGGCCATTCACACCTCTCCTTCTCCCTCTCCTCTTTTCTTTTCTCCACCATACATTTCATCCCTATTTCCCCTCCCTTCCCTTTTTCTAATTTCTCTTCAAACCTTCCAGCCCTCCAACCCGTTTCCACCCTCAGTTTATTCCTTTTTAGTTCCTCCCTCACTATATACCCTGGTGTTACCCTGTCCAGACCTAAAATCCACTTCAAGTATTTCTCCTGCACCGCCTCCACCTCCTTCCATTCCCTATATCCCCACACTTCTACCCCATAAAATAAAATCCCTTTCACTATACTGTCAAAGAGTTTTAGTTTCCATTTTACATCTCCTTTAAATTTTCTCTCTCCGTAGCTCCATATCCATCCCATTGCCACTCTTGCTCTTCTTATCCTCTCTCTTATGTGCTCTTTTTCTCCTCCACACTTAGTCATTACGTATCCCAAGTATTTGTATTCCTTCACTTCTTCTATTCTTTCTCCCCCCCACCACCAGAATCTTTCCTTCTCCCTCCCTCCTTTATTCCTGAAGACCATCACCTTCGACTTCCCCACATTGATGTATACTATAATTTATATCATTATAATTATATTAAAGAATACCTTAATTATTTTATAGATTTCGGTATGTATAGTAATTGTATATATATTTTTGTATCTTTAATCACGCGCGCGCGCGCGCACACACACACACACACACATCTATGAAAAATACAAAAAAAAATTAATTTACAAGACATTGTATCTTAATAATAATTATTAGTATAATTAAATAATAATTATCCTAATAATTATACTAATAATAATTATTAGTATAATAATATAATAATAATTAGTATAATTAAATGATTATGATTAAAAACCACATATGCTTCTATTTATTGTTAAAGTATATATTTCAGACGGTTTACATGATGAAAATAAATATTTTCTGATATACTATATATTAAAATAAAATATAATTGACAAACAATTATATTTGTAGTGTATACAATTTATATAATATTTTACTATATCAGAATTATTATAAATATACATACATCAATAAATATACATACATCTATGATAGATTTCTCTTTAACTTTATGAAAAGTTGGAATATCTGGATCTGGATATGTAAAGTTTAATGGAATGTTCAATCGCTTTTAAAAAATACAAAGTGTTTTCTAAATATTGCAAAATACAGAATTTTGCAAATCTTACAAAACTCAAATACATTTTTGTAAATTGAAAAAATATTAATATGTTCAAACATTATTTTATAAACTAAATAATCTCAACTGTTATAGACACTTTATAATATTATAGAATATGCATATATATAATTATATGTATCTGGCGAGAGCTATGAAAAAAAGATACTTTAATATACCCGCTGATAAACAGCCATGGTCCATTTAAGAACTTTGTCCGTGCATCATCAGATTTGGAAACGTTACAACGTTTCTCAATATTTGACGCTTTAACGCTGCGTAAATGCGTGTTTTATTTGTTGTTATTATTATTATTATTATTATTATTATTATTAGGCGGAGCCTAGTTATACATCTAATAGTATCTGAATCTAAAGTCCTTCTCTCAATTGATTTAAACTTTAATCAATGAAGTTTGTATTATATATGTTCATGTTCCAATTTTCTTTCGAGTTCGAGTTTTGCAGTCTTTAATCGATCACGTGTATACCTTTCTTTGCAGCTATGGGCAATTTTTCTCCTTGAAAGAATGGATTTTCTTCCTGAAAGAGTATTAATATTGTACTTTTAATTTCATTGTATTTTATACGATTTAATTTTATTTATAAATTCAAATGTTTTTTTCTTTGAAAAAGGGTAAAATGTAAATTAATTCTTGTAATTTTGATTGTTAAAAAATTTTATAAATCATACATATTTTGTACGATGACTGTATATTTCAATTACCTGAAACTGTTCGATAATTTGATTGAGATCGGAATTCGAAATATGCATGTTCGATAAACTGTTACTGTTTCCAGAATCGTTGGAGCATTCTAACATATGTTCTGTGTCACACATACAGTCCTGAGCGCTTTGATAGTCACGGCTAAACGCTGCCGTGTTTTCGAAATTGGTGAGGCAATTATTTTCACCTATAAAAGTAGGAATAAATTTTAAATTATACGTCGAATATATAGAATTATTGTTTTCTAATTAAAAAAGATATTTGATGATTAAAAATAAAAAGTATATCTATTCTTGACATGTTTACTCCATAAGTAAGATCGTTTGAATATTGTTATTAGGGTTCCTACGGACGAGCGAGTTTATAGCGTCACGAAAGCGCCGACCCATTTATACGGAGCTATTCGTGATGGCGCTACAGAAAAGTGTCGCGAATATATTCATATGGGTCACTTTGTGGCGCGACATGAAGCATTGCGGATGCGTTCAGATGCGGGCAACGCTTCTTGTCCACCACGAATAGCTCCGTATAAATGGGTCGGCGCTTTCGATTGTGATGCTACGAACTCGCTCGTCTGTAGGAGCCCTTAAAGGCAAGGGAAAAAATACTTAAACAAATCCGAAGAGTAAGATAGATTATATATATATATATA